CGTTATAGATAGAAGCAGCACGTCTTTGGCTTTTAACACGTTTTAATTGGATATCAAAAAGAGCAATTTGAAGATCTGATTCAGAGTATAAAGTTTGAGAGTTACGTTGTTGAGTCNTTACGTGTTATAGTGTTGACGTTAACGCGTCGGAGCAAAGTGGCCGACTCGCTTGGGTGGCCGACTCGCTTGTGAACCACGTTAAGAAGTATAAAGCTTTTACACTTTAGATATAGTTAGAAAGGCTAAAGTTATAAAATAATAGTTATTATAGCTTAGAGTCTATTAATTATATATATATAGCGCTATAATAATATAAAAACCTTAATTAGAAAAATAAAGAACTAGAGTATTAACATAATAGCTTTAAGAGAGAAGGTAATATAATAAGTATTAAAAAATTCTTTCCTTAAGAAATAATAACATAGTAGAAAGTTTATAAAAATCTATATTATAAGTTAATAATTAAAATAGAAAGCTAATTATAAAATATAGTATCTAACTAGAATAAAATATCTAAAGATACTAGACTAGTAGAAGATACTAAGATATCTAGAGATACTAAAGGTATTAGAGATAATAAAGGCTTACTTAGATATTAGAACTAGAAGTAATAAGAATATAAGAATAGATAGATTTTATTATTTACTCTTATTATAGTTAGTTTAAATTATACTTTCTTACTAATTACTTTACTTAGTTAGATTATTATCTATTAGTCTATAGTAATTTAGATTAGGTTTATTAGCCTATTATTACCTTCTATATAAGCACTCTACTCTACTATCTTAATAGATAATTATCTTATAGAATACTAGCGTAAAGGTTACTAGTCTTAGTGTGGGACCTAGTAAGAGAAGTATAGATCCGAACCCTGTGTAACAGCTAAGCGATAAAAGCTAACAATGAAAATATAGTATAGTATTACTTGACTAAAGCCTATAGTATATATTACGATTATCTTTTATATATAGATAGGTACCTTCTCTAAACCATCCTTTACAATAATTAACTTTTAGCTTATTTCTATCTACTCGATTACGGGTCGCCCCTCTAATCTTTTAAGCTCGATCACGTATCGTGCTACACTACTTAAGCTACGCTTAGATAATTTAGCATAATCTTTGTCTGATAAGTAAATAAAAATTACGTAAGTAGTGTAGATAGCATTTTATTAAATATAATCTCTAATATACCTCGCGATTACTCTCTAGAGCGCAACCCCTTATATTATAAAGTGAGAATCTAGGTATAGGCCTAAGTGCCTAGATTCTATAAAACTATAGTACTATAGTCTACAGAGCTCTTTAAGCTACGTTCTATCTTCTACTGTATACTATTTATAGTAAGAGCCTATTAATTAGCTATAGCAATAGAACCAGTACACGTGCCTGCCTTCTCTTCCCGTGAACCTGCACCGTGATAAATTCTACCTATTAGATCTAGTTTTAGACAATATAAAAAAATAATCCCATATTTAGTACTCATTTCTGTGATTTTAACCTTCAAATTAAAGACATTTACTAAATGTCTGGGTAATATGAACCAATAATAAACATCTGCATTTAGTACCTGTCTTGTCCATTAGCCTGACTAGACGGTAGCCACTCCTGAGTCTGTCAAGCCTAATGCAAGCCCAAGCTGCCAGGACATCCGGTCCAACCACATCGTTCATTATAATGAACGTGACAAATGCTAGTTCAGGTATTACGCACTCAACGTTTTCAAACTCCAAAAGCTCAGCCATAAAATCAGAACTAATACCCTCCTTGATCGTGGTCTGCTCTCTATACTTCGTGCCTTTCGCGTGACCAGTTTTGTTGTTCAATTGGATTGGGGTGGATATGTATGCATCTGTGTGCAATTCCACTTTCACGTAGGGCCGAAAATCGTCGGGGTCGTCGCTCGTGTTGTCAGTTGGGATATCTTGAACCGCCAAGATCTTGATCGCAAGATGATTAAGCGTCACTTGTGGAATAACCGGCTCCTCATCAAGCGATGTCGACTCGTCGGAACTTCGATAACCGTTTGGCTTAAGGATGTAGCCATCAGTACCCGAAAACATACCCTCGTTCAACATCATGCCCACATCCCAGGTCTGCCAATTGAGTGCCACTATCTGGATGCCCATACGCCAAAAAGGGTTCGGATCAAAGTTGAGAGAGTCGATACGAGTACCGGCCGGGTATGTGCGCATGAGATAGTTTTTGTTATGATTGAACAACTCCAGAGGCTGCTTTCTGTGGAGCTCGATAGCTGCAGGCTCGGAAAGCGAAAAGATATGATTGGGCATAGAGGCCTCTAACTGCGTGATCGATTTGAAAGATACACCACGAGTATAGATGCCGAGCTGACTCAACCTTGGTATGATCTTGGCCGGTTTGGCATCCTTTGGACGGTTTTCTTGAGCGGAAGTCTGCATTCCTAATGAATGTATGCTTTCTGTGTCTGAAGTTGTTGAGCCGGGCGTCTTTTCGGATGGCACATACTTGACTTTGATAAGGATTTTGCGCTTTAGGTCTCTGGGCGACGGTAACGAATTGGGCTCGGTGTCTGGTGTAGGTAACAGGAATTCTTTCCACGCTTCTTCCATGATGCTGACCATGACACCTTGTTGTAAAGGTGTGCAGTGTACCTCGAGACTAACAATGAGGGGAAGGTCCGACGCTAGAAAGGCGTACCGCCTGATTGTGTCGCAAACGCTGCGAAAAGAGATTTCCTTGGTGAGAGTAAAGCCGTGGAGAACCCTTGGCTCGGTATGGATTACTTCGCTCATTCTGTCGTCGACAGTGCCAATCATGTCAATGACTTCGGGTTTTTCGAACTTTTCAACTATCCATGATGCAAGTTTAATACCCAGCTTGTCTCTCTTTGTCAGCGGCCGCATTTGCCCTTTGTTGTCTTCCTCCTCCTCGTGCATGTAGAACTCTTTGCCATCCCACACATCGATTTCAATGCAACGGCATCCACGCAGTAGAGCATCCACATAGGCTTTCGTACTTGAGTCACTGGAAAGCTGATTCCCAGTTAGATAGGTGTTATGGCTGGAGCTGATGAAGTAGTTGCTCAAGGGCAGAGAAAGGTTCTCTTCCAACGCGGGGGCTTGTGCATCGGCTGCTGGCGAGCTCATGTACTGCAGGAACTCGCCAAAGTCCATTTCATTAGAGGGCATAGCACTCAGGCGGCCACCAAAATGTTCCTCTTGAACATGTTCCCAGAACATGCGGATCTGACTTTCGTTCCAGTGGTTATCAGGTCCTGCGTAATTGCGAAAGATTTGGTGAAAATGTTTGAGAAGGGACTCATGGAAATGGATGATTCCATGGTTTAATGAGCTTGATTGATCCTTTCCAGTCATAGTAACAGAGAGTTGATCAGAAAATTGTGTCGCAGTAACTATTGCTTTGATCACAGCACATTAACAAATGCATAGATGCTCTGGAATGTAAGAGTCGGTACGTACATCGGTGCTTGCAAAAGTATCAAGAGATTGTATGAGGAGACTTGCGACATAGTTCTGGATCAAGAAAGAAAAGCCAGGTTATAGAAATTCGGCCTGGCCGTGTCCGTGCATGCTACTTACGCATAGCGAGCACGTGCACGCTGAGACGGCTTAGCCCACCAAAAGCGGCGCGCTATAGCTCCGTCTTAGCCACTCGCTAATTCTTGTAAATTATAAGTAGCCCCTCAAGCTAGGGTTTTTCAAGCATGATGCGGGAAGCACAGCCACATATCGGATAAATCGGCCTGATAGACTCGTCAACAATGAAACAGTCTTTTCTATCGATGTACGCTGGTTGCGCTTTCATTGGCCATTCTTTGTGAACGGATTTTTTCACTAAAGCATTGACTTCATCAGTTGCCTTGTTCAGAGTATTCCGGCACTGGCGGCTCCAGTAAGCTGCACTAATTCTTAGCATACAGCAATGCAAATGCCATGTGCTTCTCTTTTTGAAGCATTTCCATGAAAATATTGACCTTATCCGATGTGGTTAATCCTGAGTTATAGTAACGATCCAACCATCCCGTAATGTAAACTAATTCGGGTAAAGCAAATCGTTTTCGACCCCTTCATGTTACGTAAATCAAGCTGATCCGTTACGGTATCGAGAGGTATTTAAGGCTTGATATCGATGTCTGCCACATAACGCCACTTTTCCCTCTCTTGTTGACCACATGTTCCCCTTCTACGGTATCATGCTTGTCAATTTCCCAATACTCTTAGTACTCGTCAAAGTGGCAAGCTGTAAGTCTTCCATGTATTCTATTTACCAGTAGATCTAACCAAGTTACAGGCGTTGTAGTCGCGCGAGAAGCTCTCATTGCCCCTTCTCCCAATGATGCTGTCTTATGGCATCGTGCCTCTCCACAAGCACTCGACGACTACGCTCCCACCGAAGTCGACTGCCCTTCAACACGTCCAAGTATCCGATCAGCCGAAAAGCTATCAATAGAAGAGGAGCAGTGGTTGGAAAAACGAAGGTCCAATACTGTAGACCCTATGGTCGAGTTGCTTCAACGTGTTGGTATCAGAGATTTCGACGTCAAACAATATTTTGATGCCCACAAGCGTAACTACAGTGCGTTACCGAATGTTGCTATCGCATTTTCAGGTGGAGGCTATCGGGCTATGCTCAACGGAGCTGGTGTTCTGGCTGCGTTTGATAGTCGTACTTCGAACTCTACAAATGCAGGACATCTTGGTGGGCTGTTACAATCTTCAACGTATATATCAGCACTATCTGGTGGAGGCTGGTTAATAGGAAGTATTTTTGCCAATAACTTCACTTCTGTAGAGGCAATCACAAGAGAAGGCGAAAACACACCTCTCTGGCAGCTCCAGAATTCTTTGCTAGAAGGACCTCCGACACGCGGTATCCAGGCCTTCTCGACCGCCCAATACTTCGCAAATATCGTGAGCGTAGTAAAACAGAAGTCCAGAGCATTGAATGGCATCTTCAGCACCTCCATTACTGACCTGTACGGTCGGGCTCTCTCTTTCCAACTTCTCAATGCTACTCAAGGAGGCTCGGGTACGTTCCGGACCTAATCGCACAAACCTAACGACTGATGACCGCAGCATACACATTTTCATCCATCCAAAACGACAAAGACTTTTCCTCCGGCAAAGCACCAATGCCTATCATCGTGGCGGATGAACGTTCACCAGGGGACCTGATCGTCTCGCTAAACTCAACTGTTTTTGAATTCAATCCCTTCGAGATGGGGTCTTTTGATCCAACAACATACGGCTTCGCCCCTTTAAAGTATATTGGCTCCAAGTTCGATGGTGGAAAGCTGTCGCATGACGAGAATTGTGTAACCGGGTTCGACAATCTTGGATTTGTGCTCGGCACCAGCGCCTCGTTGTTTAATCAATTCTTTTTAAGGCTGGAGAAAAACAAAAACATTCCTGGTCTCCTCAAAACGCTGGTCTCTAAGATTTTAGAAAGAATTGGAGAAGCGGGAAACGACATCGCCGATTATTCACCCAACCCTTTCTTCAACTACCACAACAAGACGAATCCGAGCGGAGGCAACTATTCCCTTACACTTGTTGATGGCGGTGAAGATGGCCAAAATATTCCTCTCCATCCACTCATACAGCCAGTACGCAATGTCGATGTCGTCTTTGCTGTCGACTCTACATCCAATTCAGAGACCCAGAAATGGCCGAGCGGTAAGGCACTTGTGTCCACCTATCTACGCACTGGTTCCAGTATCATGAATCAGACCTCGTTCCCATACATCCCCGGCCAAGACACCTTTGTTGCTCTAGGGATGAACAATCGCCCGACATTTTTTGGATGTAACAGTACGAACGTTACTAACGGCAATAATGTCCCACCTATTATTGTATATCTTCCAAACTCTCCTTACAACTTCTTTTCTAACACCTCGACCTTTGGAAAACTGTCATTTAGTATCGAAGACCGTGACAGGATGATTCAGAACGGATACAACATGGCTACTCAGGGGAATGCCACACGCGACGGTGCTTCAAGCTGGCCTACTTGTGTTGGATGCGTTATACTCTCTAGAAGTCTAGAACGTAATAAACACCAGGTTCCTGAAGTATGTCAGGGTTGCTTTACGCAATACTGCTGGAACGGCACGGTAGTTAGAAAAGCGCCACCGTACAACCCTTCACTATATCTTACCTCTGTCAACAAAGATTCTAGTAGTAGTAGTTCTAACACAGTCATACCTAGTAGAATTCTCTTTAGTCTTCTTATTTTACTCACTTTTGTATATTAGCGATAATCTGTTCACATTCTCTACTTATGATTATATATGTAAAAATACAATGTGTAACGATGTTACAACTTCGCCAAGTATCGGACCAATCTCAGAGCCGGATCGGAGGTAGTATTCGCCGCCCTCTTCATCAACCACTCGTTGTAAGGTCGGATCCCAGTCGGATCCAATTAAGATAAGTATATAAGGAGACACACCTTATAGCTAGCTCTATAGACCTTTAATATTTTCTTATACAAGGCCTATAGGTGTCTATTTAGATTAAGACTCGCTTAATGTCCCATGCACTTCTACGTACCTCTAAGTGATACTACTACTAATACTAATCTAAGTAGTCTTGCCTACGCCGTTATACTACTAGTATTATTAAATATTCTACTTATATATAGTGGATGATGCTAACGGTATATAGCGATTAACGTAAAACCCTAACCACATTTGGTAAAAAAGGCCAGAGTACCGTATGATGGCTAAAAAGATTCCCATGCCAGTATACCAGTCGTACGTTGCTTTAGCAAAGCAGAGTATTAGAATAGAATTGTATATGCACCGTCTCGTTGTCTCCACGCGATTACTTGGATCTCGGGTCGTAAATTGGACATACCAGAGCGCTATAATAGTGAATCGCAGGGATAAATCGAGCTCGAAATTAAAATCTACCCTAGATCGTTCAACGCTCAACAGCGTGACCCAGAATAGCCAGTCTAAAACAGGTCCAAAGAGCATAATAGATCAATGAGCAACCATAGCAGCATCTATAAGATGTTGAGGATTTCTTATGAAAAATCTCAAAAGACGGCTTGGTTGCCTTCCATCACTGAGTGGCTTGAGAAGTAGTCGTTTCGCTGCCTGCCGCAAGATAGTACTTTGGTAGAGGTATACCAACCACGGTATAATGATCGTTGTAGGCAAAGATAGATAGAGAGTTCTAATCGGGTCGGGAAAGGTAATCATATACGATATTAAGCCATCCAGGATTGTGAAGTGTACTGCGAAGGTGGCCCATGGAGTAAACCAATATCTTTGAATGAGCTGCGAGGGCGGTTCCGAATGAGTGGGAAGTAATGGGCCTAAGTCATCACCATCTGTCTAGTACGTCAGTCTGGTTCTTCTGGTTTGTGAGCAGGAAATGATAAACAAAGATGTTTGACTAACCATACAGTATTTCGACGTATTGTCGCTTAGGAAGGCAATCTGGGCAATTACATTTGCACCCAAGCGTTGGGAATCTTCTCAAGGCCTGTGTCTCCTCTGTAAATCGATTTATCCGGATGGGGCTGCTGTAGCGTGTAGCGATGCGTCCATCAGACCGGCTCAAGATCATAAGATGGCACCCAGGAGCAGAATCCACACGGCCAAGTAACCAGGCTCGCATCGGTCCAGGGTCAAACATAAAGCAATGTCCGAGTACCCTTTCTTTTGATCGATCTTGGGCTCTGAGTGGTGGGCTATCGACCAATATGTCGATAGTGATAAATCCGTGGCTTGTGCATGCCGCATCACAAACATGATTCTCGAGCACGACACACTGAAGATCCACCACAAACGTAGGTATAGGAACAGAGGGGCCTACAGACGTCCACAAGAAGATAGGAGCAAATTCTCTCCCGTTGTTATGGTACTGGAGACGATCCTCGAGGACCTGTAAGTAAAACTTCGCTTCGAGGGTCTGTAAACATTTGTCACCTTCTATCGACGCAGGTACCCAACCATTTTTGAAAGATTGCGTTTGAAGCGTTGAAATCTCCAGTATTCCGATAGATTCTTCTGGTGTGGTTTCCTGAGCAGTAACATGGTGCTGCATTTGTGACCCAGCTCGAGACTCGGAAAGGTGCGTACTCAATCTTCCTCGTAAGCGCGGACCTGTGTTGAAAAGCAGCTCTACAGGTAGCACCTTCTGCTGTCGGATGATCAGGGCTATCCGTTCCTGTTCAGTCTTTCTTTTTAGTACCTCGTACGCACTTACGCCAAGCAGATTGGCCAATATTGCAGGTGTATCGGCAGGTAGGCTCGAAACACGGTCAAGTAGCTCATTCCAAACTCTAGCGAATCTGTCGCGAAGCAAGACTTCGGGGCATCTTGTTATTCTTGGCTTGGAGGGACCCCAGATGCCGAGATATTGAACTGAAGATAATGCCCAGATCTCTCGCTGCACCAATGAGTCAAATTGCCGTGCTGGGAATTCGGGGTCTAAAGGGCTGACGCGTAGACCATTGATGCCACGAACAGGTGGTGGGGATTGTGGGACGTCGAGCCGTGCAGTATTATGAGAATAGATGCCATCAGAAAAAGCGTAGATAGTTGAAGGAGGCAAGTAACCTTCCTGCAGAGTCCAGGATCGGGTTGTCCACCCGCAACACTGTATGTAAGCGAGCTTAGTAGTATGATTAGTTGCCATAGGTATCATCCTTAACTCTGCGTCAAGAACAAGCGTATGCTGACTGGATGCGTAGACAAGATTCATTCTGTCGATTGCCTTTCCTTTGACGTCTTGGAGGATTTCTTCAGGAATGGATTCTGCTGGAGGCGCCGTTTGCACCGGGATACACAATGTGTCCATCCAAAAGAGGGTATTTGTTGTAGTCATCGTGCAAGTCGACAAGTTCGGCCTACGTATGGCAATCTGGGCAAAATATGTTTGGAGCATGCGAAGTTGGCACGTTGGAAGACCGTTCTCAAAAGCATTTCCCAGACCATCAGCCCATACGTGAGATATAGCAACATATCTCGAATGCCTGGAAAGGTATTAGCTTCTGTTATTTCGAAATTATCCTTGAAGTAGCAGTCATAGTCAACAAGTAGAGCTGTACATACCATTGCTTAGTATGAAGTTTCAATACAAGTCTCCCATGGACATCTTCCTCAATAGACACGAGTGGGATGTGGCCGCCTTGAATGACCTTCGCCACATCTACCGAAGATATGCTGATAGTTGGACAAGTACACGTATCCGTCGCATGACGAGCACTGGTATCGCCAGGCTGGGAGTTCCAGCCTTTACATGAATTCTTGGAGCAGCTCTCGTGCACAAATTTTGCGCTTCCTGGCCGTGGCAGTCTTGCGAAGTAGTAAGCTGTGTGATAGCTGAAAGTGGAAAGTACTTTGTGTATCTGATGTACACACCACCCATTCTCTCTCATTTTGAATTCAATAGCTCGACCGGCAGCCGTAAACTTATCGCCTTGTCTATTGGCAACAGAGAACCAATCGCTTGCTTTTTGGAGCCGGCGAAGTCTGTCATATGTCCAATGATAAGAACGAGAGATGGTGCTAATCAGTACCTTGACGGATAATAGTATCAAGTCAATAGATTCACTGGAGTTTGAGCGCACAGTGAAATGGCTCTCAGCCCAATGAGCTGCTCCGTTCGCATCCGAAAGTATCATACTATGCCGCTGTAGTACGTCCGTGCTCTCTTTCTCTGGTAATTGCAGCACACTGACCTGCATATTGATGATTTTCGATTTAACTAGCTCCGAGCTTACAACTCTGAGTCGGCGCTCCCCACGAGTCGAAAAGTTATATCCTGTGATAGCAGTGTCGCAAAGAACCGCGAGAAGCCCAAAATAAAGCCATTCTTGGATAAATGTAGCTTTGGACTCGGCCGAACTGGAGACGTCCAGTCTAGTAGAATAGTAGTCGGAGGGTTTTTGGTTGTGGTACCACATCCATATGTCGTCGCCTGGTCGTATCACCGTCGAGGTGATAAGAGGCACCTGCACACCTTCTCCACCAAAAGGTGCTTCGATAAAGTCCATGCAAAAAGCAGAAAGAAGCTAATATCTGAGGACGAGGATCGAACGTCTTTGCGAAACGTCGGATACTTAGTCTGGGACAGCAGTTCTTTACAAAGGCTGAAAGTAGCCACGCGGCCGACATGGCTTGGCCAGGGGCCTTACTGCGCCTCGACTTTCCGGTCAAGGTGAGAGTACCCTTGAAACGAGCTCAAAGCAGGCACGCCTCTAACTTGGTCTGTTGAGGTGCCCTGCTACCCCTGCATTTTCCGGTTAAATGGCGCGACAACATACCTCGTAGGTATCTAGTGTTTGGGGGCGAAAATGCAAGGTCCAGGATAGCGCGGGTAAGAGCAGACTGGCCATCGGAGTCAGTGGTCCGGTCATGACGCATTCTAGCTCGAGCTCACCTCGATATAACGTAACAACGAACATCACCAACATAGATCTTGTAGAATTCTTGTGATGGAATTGAAACGCTGGTCGGACTCATACAGGCCCGGGCATCTGCTCATTGGAAAGATGCGATCGCGATACATAGGTTCAAGAATCTTCGACGTGTTGCCTAAGCAACAAAACCGCGATGGTCGGCATATTATGTCCTATTACCTACGCATATGCTGAGCGGTGCGCTCTGGCCTTCTCATCATCGCAATTCAGATACGAACGTCATCAGCAGTTATGCTTGCCATGGCTTTCGCGTATCAAGGACGCGAGCTGACCGCCAAAAGCTCGTCTCATCTTACGCATGCCTCTCTGATATCGAAATCATCACATAGGTATCGGTACAGGATCCGAAGAGTAATGCACGGTGTGTATCTCCAGGTAAATTGCTAGGTTGTGTCGAATGTTCAGGATTCATCAAATTTCTTCGTACTTACGAAGAGATTGATGGGATTAGGTACATGGGACCCCTTCGGCAGAACCTTCGATGCTGTGGTATACGATTCTTGACCCCTTGGATTTTCCCATTTGAAAGAACCCGCTCGTCTGAGTTGCATAGTGACAAAGCTGTTATGGCGCTGCCATTGCTGAGGGCTTACTTACCCCGTTTGAGTATAGCGCCTTGGCTGGGATTCTGTAGCAGACTTGTACTATACTGTCTTGATAACCTGTCCCTTTTTGGTGACCGTCCCGGCCGTGACAAAATAGAGGTATTTAAGTTAGTTTGAGATAAATAAACATGGACAAGAGTCTTTTAGATTCAATTTTGACCACATTCTGACTCTAGTAATGGGTTTATTACCGTATTACACGTATCGGAAACCCATTGTTCAAGCTGTTTAAGCTTTTCAGGGTGCCGATGCTTCTCCACTCTGTCCCAAAAGGCCTTGTGCTCCTTTTCCGGCCCATACATCCATAAATTATCGCCGTCATCGAATGCGGAAGGCTCTCCGAACTCTGCGCCTTGTAAAGTGTTGAACTGGATATTAGGCTTTGAGCCATTGTTGTCTCTCCTCAACAGAACTATTTCATGTAGCTGACTCATTGCCATTGCATAGCGACCACTTGAAAGATTCACGCCACTAAGATAGAGTTTTTTAAGATGCCTGGGGGAAGCTGACTGTACGAGACCTAATAGAGCCTGCCCAGAGATGTCGACATCGCTGAGCATGATGTTCCGTAGCTGCGTAGATTTGATAGCGGCAAGGATAGGCGAGGCTACATAGAGATCCTCCTCTTTTATCTCGCCTGGGCGTTGCCTTCTTACCCTCAAAGAAGTCATACTCAGTTCGAATTCCTGCAGATGTCGCCCTGAAATAGCTGCGCCAATAAAATTGTTGATAATCGCCAAGTCAGAAGCGCTCTGGTGTTCAGGGCGTAGTGGTGTGCAATGCATGCCGCGTTTGCCAAAGTTGAAGATTTCAAGGTAATGGCATGCCGCAGCAAATCGAGCCCAGGGGTCTGATAGGACGCTGTCGTCGGTTCCGACAGCTTGTGGCACGAGACAGCAATAGCTCTTTAATAAAGGAAAGCAATCGACTGAGATACCTCGCAACCGTATTGCGGCGTTATGGCAGACAATCGGGAGCTCAGTAAGAATGCTGGCCGGAAAGAAAAGTTCGGTGTCGTCATCATCTTTGCAAAGAGTGTTCTCAATCCTCAGCCATTCGTGTCCCTGCGTTAGCACATGAGAAAGGGCTTCTTTATCGGTCGCGATAGTCAATGCATCACAACGTGGCCCTTCTTCTCCAATTCGGTCTTCATTGAACCAGACAAAGGGGACTGTGCCACAACGCGACAGTGCCCTCGCGACGCTGCGAACAAAAGACTTATCGGAGATAATGCGAACTTGATCTGCATGTGCCGCAACATATTTGCTAAAGGAACCTGTTAAGATAGCCTGTGCTTCTTCTAGGTTTTCGTCTTCTGCGATGGATTCATGAGGTCCTTTGTTTTCCCTGCCTGTGAGACCATCAGGTTCTAGAATATCTTCTCCGGAGCTTCTCTTTTCCAGCAGACATTTCCATATGTATCTCATGTTGCCAATGCTTGTCCATGCGTTGTCATAGTTCCGCCAGACGATTGCGTCGTTAGACATGTCGTCCTGGTCGTATTCTCCAAACTCGGTATGCCAGTCACATTCCCCTTCAAATGTCCTGAGAACCGAGTCTGCATAATCATAATATCTTTGGAAGTCTGAAGCAATCGCACTTGGTCGAAAGATAAGACTTATTGCAATGCCGCGGATACCTTGGGCGATAAGAGGATTGCGAGAGAGGCCTTCCAAGCGGTCGATGGACCGTGAGCCAAGCGATACGCTCAGGACAGGGCACAAGAGAGGACTGATAAGCCTATTGAATGCCCGACAGACTAGTCGGTTAGTTCCCAAGAACTCGAGTCGATCGCTAGCTTCCGTGATGCAAGGTTTACGGTACTCGGAGGGGTTGTGAACAGGAAATCCCGAATCGGAACAGCCAAAGATGTCAAGCAGGATTTCGTCTGGTAGATCCAAAATTGGCGTTCGATGCGGAGTTGTCTGCAAGGTGTTGTTCATCGTGCATCTATCTATACTTTTTGAAGCACCGCCTTTGTTAGGGCAAGAAGAAGTGAGCTGGTGTCATTCAAAGACGCCCTTGTTCACATCTTATATACAGGAGTGCTCTGACGTTCTTACTGTTTTAAACTAGACAAGAGTGACTCATTGACACCTCTATGGAAGCCTATGGACCTTTAGCCACGGCTATGCAACGGCTAAAGTCAAGCTATTATCATCAGCATGTGAGTCACCGAAGTGCTGGGGTTTGGTGGGTTGCCTTAATGACCACGTGATGAAAACGGACGATACCTCTTCGCGCTTCCCAACTCACCTGATACTGGGAACAATGCTAGACAGCATCATTCACGGATCATTTCAGTACATCAGTAAGGTGCTCGCTAAGAGAAGGGTTCCAATCTCATCCTGCGCCCTAGGCGTCCCATCAGCCCGGCACATGTCTGCCTAACGTTGCGCCGATTTATCATCTGAAACTCAAAGGGGCGCTTTGAACGTGTTTACTCAACGCACTACGCTACTAGTAACTGAAATTCAACCTGTCACTAAACTCTCCATCATGTTAGATTTCAGCTCGAGCCCTTGGGAGATGCTGCCGATGCCGGCGAGTACTGATATCTCCTGCAACGGCTTGGAGCAGAACGGTGTCACCGAATATTCTACGCAATCGCTCAACTTCAGCTTTTCAATTCTCCTGCACGTCATATGGCGACGCCAGTTGGTGGCCTGGCATTACCAAAAAGTACACAAGGTGGTTCTCACCACTTTTCGCTGCAGCATCTATAAGGCTATTACTACTTTACATATATGTAACTAAAAAGTAAAGAAACTTTATTATTTAGATCTACAGTAAGAAAATCAAGAAATAGATAAAGATAATTTTACAGTCCCTTCACAATAGGTTAGCTGTTAAGAGAGCTTATAGTCCTAGTAGTAGAGCAATACTGTGACTATGTATACAATATATTCCTAGATTTGTATCACTTATATTAGCGTAAAATACTTTTAATAAATAGATTAAAAGACTTTTTTAACCTGACTTGATTAGTTTCTAAAGATTCATGAGTTTCTTCATACAAGTGTTTTTCAGAAGGCTTTGGCCAAATCTATCATGATGAATGGTGATAGAATCCCTCCTGCTATTACTTATAACATTTACACACTTAATTTATAAGATTATCTCGATCGCGTCTAGAGGCATTCTTTGCAATAGTGCTATCACGCTAAAAAGTGACGAACATAGTAACATCCCTTTAGCTGTTGGCTGCGCTCCTGAGCTAGATGTTGTTGTTCTGCCTGCAGTATGAGTGGTCTGCCCGAAGACTGGAGTATCGAACGGCGTCGATGTTGAAACTACCGGAGCAGTCGACGCTGGCCAGCTCGTTTCTATTGTATTTATCTCTGTCGTGGTCTTGCCATGGTTAACTCTACGAGAAGAATCGAGTAGCGTTGCCTGATGGAGAATACCATACCTGCGCGTTCACGAATAGCGTACTTCCGCCGGGACAATTTTGGTACTCCCAAAGTTGCGTAACATCAGCACTGGAAAACAGGCAAAGTCGACTGCCATCAATCTCACACGCGCTCGCCAGGCTCAACATGCTCTTCGAACACAAACAGCTCGTGACTACTGGTCCATTGCTTGTTGATACTCTACATGTCGAAGCACCTCTACTCCAACGGTCGCAGCTCTCTGCAAGAGACACACACACGTCTTGTTGAGCTGTAGCAGTCGGTTCAGCTACTGATGGAGTAGTGATTGGTGCAGAAAGATACTCATCGCAGGTTGCATGCCATTCGGTAAGGAATGAGTCAAATTTGGAATCGTATGTCGTGGTCAATCCGCATTGACGAAATTCTGACTTGCAACTTTACGTTTTGCTGCGATCAGCCTCATGGAAAAACTGTTGTTTGGTTATGCGCTCTTACCCAACCCACGCATCAACGTAACTCTGTGTACAGACGCATTCGATAATATCGTTCTTGTCTGTTAAGCTGTTGCAACGGTTTGCATTGACCGTGACTGCATCGCAATTCGGAAAGCTGGTGATCTCGCCAACGCAGTTCGACGGTGTAAGCGAGCTTTGTGCTATCGTTGTTGGGAACAGTAATGGAGCGATGGAAAAATAGAGTAACGATAACATAGCTTCTGGATGTTGTTATAGTGAGCCTAGGGAATGGATGTTCTTATATTCTTATCCGCCGAGAACTATAGCCTGATGATGCGTGCAGCCTCTGTGCGCAGGAACTGTGGCAGCTTTAGCGGTCTGCATGCGTCAGGCTGAAGGTCGCTTGAAGAGGGCCATAACAATGTGTAGCGATCCTGGCGTCAGGTCGACCACTAGATTATTACAGACATTCCCAACATATGCCACGACCTACAAATGGGTCTAGGCAGCATGATTTCGATTACCAAATATGTGCGATCAGCTGAGGACTCATCTTGGAGCTGAAAATTAGTATGAGTTAGTCGAGGCGCTACTAGTTCTCCTTCAAATGATAATTGGCTATCCTCGTGTAGCGCATGATCAACCTCGCTTCCACGTACAATCTTATTCAACAAGAAACATAAAGTTTTGGTGCGGCTGAGTATAGCAAGATTGTTGTGTGCGGGGCAGTCCGATGGTGTAGTCCAAGTTCGGAAACGACGACTGTAGCAATGACTGAGCTTTCAGCTACCATTTGCATTCGAAGATGGAGCGCGCATGTGCCATCTTGTAAATATTTTATCTTGATTCTTGTCACGATGCCAAAGCTATTCTTCTCTTGTTCTCCCCGGCTGCCTCACAACCCACAAACATCTATTGCGCAGATCGCCAAATCGTCCTCAATATCCCTACATTGTTGTTGGTACTTTATTATTTAATATGCTTGGACTCAATTGTCAAAGTACTGGAAATGTTGGATGGATCCCATTGTCTCTCAGATTTCCCATACTTGTTATCTTTGTTTTCATCGACACCGCCATCATCGTCTGTCTTATCATACTTTCTACTCGATCTTCTTCAGACAACGGCTTTGTTACGGTTGGAGGTCAAAGTGTGTCAGTATTGAACATCAACTGGAACTTCGGCCTTTTATGGACAACATTGCCGGTTTTGGTATTTCGTCTCCTAGGCATGTACTGGGAGTGGATCACAAACCCGATTTGCGAACGCCAGCCATACGTGGACTTACTCAAGAATGGTGGCGCTGTAGCAAAAAATACTATTCTCTTGGACTACCTAGCGGTACCTATCTTTTGGCGGTGGTACACTGGGCTCAAGCATCGACATTTTCTTGTCAGCATTTGTTCACTATTGACACTGGTTATGTCCATCGTGGTCAGTGCATTGTCAGCGAGGTTGTTTGCAGTGCGAACAGTACCTATCACAGCAGAGGTACCTATATTTTTCAATGCGACATTCAATGAAGCGGCTATAAACTACACAGTGGATTGGATCCCGATTCTTGACACGGTTTCCGCAGTGAATGTGCACGATGGGGGTTTATTGGGCTGGACAGATCACCAGTATGCGTTTCAGCCCTACCAGATGCAGGACTTTGTCCGCTCTGGAGACGTAGTCACTGCACAGACCGAAGCATACTCGGCCAACATGAATTGTAGCGTATTATCAAATTACCAGCTTTCCCTGAAGGATGTCCGCCTCACCATTACCGGCAGCGATCGCGGTTGCGACATCACCACAGATTTCGTAGTAGACGACATGCAGAAGGTGTACTTCAAAACATCCTCGATAACTACCTGTTCCGCCGATGCCTGGTTTGGCCGACTTGTGTTTGTGGCTGCCGAATACTCTTCTACGTCGGCTACCAAAATCGACAACGTCTCCGTTCTCTCCTGCGTTACGAACTATCGCGTCTCATCTGGAAGGTTAACGACTCTTTTCAAAGTCGGTTCTACGGTTCCGACAATCCAAGAATTCCAAGCCACGGCTACTGACGATACACGCCTGACTCAATGGATTGTGTTCGAGCAAGGCATAATCTCTGCAACAGCGTTCAATCCAAAGGTAAACTGGTCTACCTCGGTGTTCGGAAACGTGGTCCTCTACTACGCGCAAAAGCTGGCAGGGCCCAACTATCTTTCGACTGAAGTACTTGACCGTGCAGTTTCGGATATCTTTTCAGCTACCTATCTTACTTGTGTGGCGCAAAATGCTTTTGAGCCGCTCGCAACGCCAACAACAACCACCGGCCAGATCTCGAGGATGACTGAACGCCTGTACACTGTTGACGGAATCGTCTATGTTATCGTGGTGGTCTTGCTGTTAAACATGATCACAATCGTCGTCGCGATATTGCATGTCAATACACATGCCACGATCTTGGAGGAACAGCCATCAGGACTGCTCGCATATGCCGCAATTTTAGAGAAGAGTCCGCTGTTAGACACTGCGGGAGAAATGAAAGCTCAAAATAGCACTGGCATAGTTGAAAAAGCAAGTCATGGAGACTTTGCATATACGCATTGGAAAGCAACTGCAGAAACGAGTGGTGCACGTTGGAGAATTGTAAGGTCAAGGTAAATATAAAATAACGTTATAAGTATTTGCTTCTTTGACATCACAGGACTTAGATAGAGGACCCAAAGAACAATATTCGGGGCCCCATCGGGTATTCCTTAAGCTAGTGACGCTGAGAACCTACATAGTATTAGAGCTCCCATCCAATCCTTAGGATGAAGCCCAGTAATCCATCTGACTGCTATTCTAACATTGCTGCACATCCCCGCCAATCCTCCTACATTAGGTATTTCATGGGAGGAAATTGCTCGCCTGTTATGATATAGATAGCTAGAGGCTCCAGAAGAGTAAAGATTAATCTTACACTTTTCTTAACTATTGCTAGCTGCCATAGTACGTCTTACATGTCTGGTCAGTATACTAATTTGCATAATATGAACAACGATTTCCAAAACATGTTCCCTAGATTAATCCGACATTGATGGAAGAAGAGGCGAGAACCAAACCTACTTATCCGAAGATACGTGTAAATGCCTTTACTAATAGTGCCGCATTTTCCGTTCTCGGAAACATGTGTAGAGAGAACTGAGTTGGCGCAGCTAGGTAACAATTAAATTCTTGAGAACTTTATTTTGAGTCTAAGCTAGTACGGTGGTGGAAAGAAAAACTGGCGATTGATGTACGGCTCAACAACAGCAATTGCGGCAACAAAACTATAGTATCTGTACAAAGGTGGCATGGTTTGTTTCACAGAGGAATTGACTCGATCTAAATGTCCATAGTACTAAGTTTTGTATAGCGCCAGCTTAGTATATGCCTGTGGTTTATCTCGCAGATTCGCCGAAGTGAATTAAACTACAAAGGCCCTAGAAGTCAGCCATAAGAGGTTTGGCTCTCTTGTCGACAGTTCGGGGCTAATATTGTGCTAGTCTCTTTACTAAGCAAGTTTTGCAAGCCTCGTTAACATTAACAACGCAAATAGCTCCACGGGACTGCATAAATAGGAGTGTGGACATGAGTTACGCAGAAACAGCTATTTACACCGTACATAACGGCGACTCAAGCCTCAGTCTTGTCAGGTTCACTCGTGTCTATTTGTCTAAAGTTTGAGTCTATCAATTGGCAGGGTAGGTTGCATGTTCGCGTGATTTTTCATTCTATAACCTAGACAGTTGTTCATTTTGGGACATCAGGGTTGGAGTTTAAAGTCGTTCTGAGATAGCAATGTTATACAAGGTTGAATATAAGGGGCAAGGCTATGTGGAGCAAAAGCTTGATATACAGATAATTGAACACGATAATAAGCTATCTACTCCACCTATGTAATGTTTATTTATCTATTAGAGGATGGTTACGCTGAACTATCTAAGCGCGCTGCCACGGGCTCAGTCAGGGAATATTCTTTGCCGTTTATTCCATTCTTATCTGCATTCTTCCATCTTTTATTAACGACAAACGTTCTTCTTTGTGAGATCTGAATACGCAAACACAATGCATCGTCCCAATATAAGGACACAGCATTATCACTTGCTTTGACAAGGATCTATATAGATACCTACGATCTGATCACGCGTAACTAGAGCATGATACCTTGAAAGTTTTGGGCAAAGGATCTTGATGAGGCAATCGGAAGTCATTTCAGGATGTAGTACTTTGGTGTAATGTCGATCCATGTTAGATTACTTGATCATATAGTATTGCAGAGAAATATTAGGTAGTGTCTTAGAACCAATCATAGCCCACGAATATGTACCCAAAGACATAGGACAACGCGTGTTCGCCATTTTCGAACCCGAAGACCCAAAGATCTGAAGACCAGAAATCTAGATCTGCTTCGCATCCTTCTTGGCATGACTAGCCAAATTTAGCCGTTCGCACTGTTCATTCAATACGCTATAGAACGCCTTCGTCTGTCTTAGTTACATGAGAGGCGCAATTTAACCCCTACTATACCAGAGCGGGTTAGCAATAAGCCTCATCCACCAAACTTGGGTCTCACTTCGCAAATTACCCTCGTCAAACTTGAGCAAGGTATTATTGTATTTTAATTCAGACGCTTTTGCGTCGTTTGTACGAAAAAAGTAAATGAAAAGGCGTCCGGAGACCCCGTTGCACTTAGCCAGTTACCTTGCTGATTCAGCAATACTCGGCTCACACGCAACGCCACCGGAAGTGTCACGAATCAAGAAACATTTTACTATATATAATGGGTACTATGTCTTAATGAGGCTGCACTGGATAATTTCACTTCACCTACAAGATCTAGCAGCTGGTCATAGACCATTCCACTCATTTGCAATGCGCTCGTTTATCGCTCCACTCGTTTTGTCCTTTGCGATAGCCACTTCCGCCAATGAAATGTGCGGTTTGGTTTCTGACGTTGTGCAAGTTTTGCACGCTGTTTCTTATGCTCCAGAATTATGCTCGACATTGCTCCAGATCTCCGCTGCAACCGCTACTTCCGTCGTTACAGAAACCATGACAGAGACAAGATCCATTAAGACAACAGAGACAAGCACAGAGACGGAGACGATTACTGATATTGAGACAACGATTACTGGTACCAGGACTAGCACTGCTGACGCTGTTTCAGTGACCAGCACTGAGTGAGTGACCTTGTTGATACTCTAAATGTGGCTGCTGACATGTTAAGAACTGTCACAGTTCAAGCATGCCGTCCAAAAGTTACTCTCAAAAAACGAAGTGCTGCGCTGGAAACTGTCTCCGCTAGCAAGACGTGTACTAAGACCGAGTCTTCAAGCACTACAGATACCTATCCCACACTGTCTACTAGCACTGTCGAAACCTCGACAATAAGCACAAGCGCCATCACGTTTTCGAGCTCTTCTCCTGGATCCTACAAAGCCATGAGTTCTTATCCTACTGTTTCCTCAACTTTTGAGTATCGTTATGTAGTTGCCTCAAGCGTCGTTCGACCCCATGATGCAGTTACCTCGAGCATTATTCAGCAATACTCTTCGGCCAATTCAATCATCTATCAGCCGTATTCTACTGTTGCCTCAACCACTACGATAACATCCCCGGTAGGACCAAGTACCCCGACTCCTCTGGTGTTATGTGCAGAAGGACCACCAGAACTGCAGCGATTTGAATGTGCAAGAATCACCCAGGGATGCAGTTGTCTTTCTCGCGAAAGTCCTACAGTCACTCAGATTGTGTTCAGCTCAGTCACTGTTGTCGAACAGTCGACAACCACGTTCATAGCTCACATCACAACTACCGCGGCTATTACATCTACGCAGTCGGTAAGCTTAATATAATCTCTAAGAAGAAATTGTCTTAACTCCACTTATATAGATCGATGTAACCGAACACTATACCCCAACAACAACCATTGTCGCCATAGTTACTGAAACAGCGCCCGCACCTGATTTCGACAACGACTCGAACAATTGTGGAGCATGCGGTAACGTGGTAAGCATTTGCCCTAGCACTTTATCTCACTTTACTCTTCGATCTGCATCTTTACTTTATCATTTTCCCATCGTAGGAAGCTAACGAATCAACAGTGTTCTAATGATGACATCTGCTCCCTCGGCAGGTGTGTTAGCCGAAACCCTATACCTACTCAAGCTGTCGTCAACCCCGGCTTCGAAGACCTTAGTACAGCTCCATGGGTTCTCTTTCCCGGGGGCTACGAGATCGTCAACACAGGCAACCCTGAATATGGTCTAAAGACACCTCGTGTTTCGCGCAGGCCAGGACTATTTGCAAGCATCCGCCAGATACCCACAGTCTTACCGGGCACCTATATAGTCCAGTTCAGTATCAAGATCGAAGGTCCTGACCCATCGAGATGCTTTGTTCAATTGACAGGCGTTGCTGAAAAGGATTATGGGCGTGCAACTAACTCGGATTGGAACACTTATTCGTATACATTGACTAGTGCAGGTAGTAATAACGACTTCATCCGCATTGTTGTTAGTTGCGATCCATCACCCCAAAATGGATTTGTTTACTTTGACAATATCACTATCAAGTCAATTTCATAGCAGTAAACTATTAGTACATTAGTGACATATAATGTCAGACTGATTAGTAGTTGATAGAAGCTATACTCTCTTTTATTGATATACTAAAGCATCTCTCGCTTAAGAATGCTCAGCCTCGACCCACTTAGTCGAAGTGACAGTCTCTGAGTTACCAGAGCGAGATTTGAACGTAATTGTGTTGTCAGTATTAATAACAATAGTTGTAGTCTCTCCCGCATCCTCCTTTCTTAAAATGTGCTGCTTGAATCCAGCTGTTGACTCGTCGTTGAAAAGGGCCTTGCACATGACCTTGGAAGCAATCTTTGCCACTTTGGCTGCAGGAAGCAGCGCTGGATTGGATCCTTTGGCAGCGTTTATGGCCACCTTGATGAGTGCTGGGGCCGCTTTCTCGAGGAAGTCGATGATACTGCGGAAGTTGGTTGGGTCTGAATACCACATCAAGAGCTCGTTGGGGCGCTCCGAGCCGGCTTGCTCACGGTGATAGGTTATGAACCACCAGTCGCGACCGGTGGTAAAAGCGCCTGTGTTGTATTCAACCGTTTGGAGGATGGAAGACGTGGCGCCTGGCAGAATATCACCAAAGTCGGCTTGGTTCTTGTAGTTGTCGCTGTACTTGTGGGTGATGCTTGCGCCGCTGATGACATCGGGAGTGTTGTTTTGAATCGTGACATACGCTTCGCGTTTGGTGACACACAATGCAAGCGGAAGCCAGCAGAGAACAACGATGAGTTTTGAGAAGCTCGTGACGCCCATGGTGATGGAGGAACAACTTTCAATTTTTGTTTATGGTGATTAAATGTGCTTTTTTGCTCAGGAATGTGTTGCGCTTGTAATGAACAGGTCGTTAAAGGGAGTCTTTCCCTTCCCTTTAAATACATCAATTCGAGCATGAAGCCCATGGCACTCTTGATTCTGTTTGATGAAATTAGAACGGTCGCTCAGCTGTGCAAACGGCGAGGTGGCTCAGCTCCCCACAGTTGTCAGCCGTGCCAAAACTTAACTACAAATGACACTTTTCCCGTGTTCCTGTCAGCGCCAAGAACACAGATAGTCGCCGATTGCTCATTCTGCCAGGGAAAAATGCCCGTGCATGGCCAAGGGCACCATGCTAATTCTAGCGTAACGGTCAGACCCTTGGTAGATGTAGAGCTGAAAATACCTAGATACCTATACGGAATATCCCAAGAACAGCTTATACCTGCTAGGAATGTGGACTCCGATAGCCCATCGAATTGTGCGGCAGTGGCCTACCTGCGCCTCATCTCGCTCGGGTAATATAGTGTCCGTTAACAGAAGTATACCTATGCGACCCGAGGAGTGCATACATCGTAATCGTTATTCTTTCTTTAAGCAGCAAACATAAAAACCTCCTATAGTTAGTGATAATAACTTCTTACTACCTCCTACTCTAATTTCGCTCTTTATATACTCTATCGTATATAACTATCTTTAATCTTTAGTAGTCTTTTCAATACTGAAAGGCTGTAGTATACGATCTTGCACAGTATCAGATAGGTAGAAGTTTTAGAGTGATAATAACAGGGCTAGATAAAAAGAACAATGTTAGAGCGAACATAAGAGCTATAGAAGAGGAAGAGTTCATCGCCATCAACATAAAGCTAAGTTCTGTGTAGTTATTTAATTTTTTGCTAGCTCTTCTCCAATAATATCCATCACTGATCGCTGAGCTTCGTCATGATTCGGCCACCAGGTCATATGGGAAAGATCATAACTGTCCACCTTTTGCAAGAAGTCTTTGCTCTGGTTACCGATTTCAGTTCGGGCAAGAGCACGTCTGAATCTGTGGCCAAAAAAGTCCCTCACGTTTCTGAATTTGCTCTATTCCTTCGAAGGGAGCACTTTGAAAACCCCTCGCATGCTCTCGTAACCTTTGAATATGTATTGAGGGAAATATTTGGGCCTTTACTGCGCACTCAGGAGACGGTTGCAGACTAAGAGAAGGGCTGCAAGTGTTGAGGCAGCCGCTGTCACGGCAGAGTTTTCCGGCTCATAGAATATAACTCTTCCCTTGCTGCTGTGAGAAGGACGGGTTTTCCCAGGAAGGAGGAATTCCACTCTATCGTCATCGACCTAAGCGAGTGCCTCGCCGGTATCGGTTGCGCCACCGATTAGTATACAAGCAGGAATATCGCCCGGATAACAGCGATCTCTTGTACCATTGCCATGCCAACACCGGCCCTTGGACAAGCAAGCGTGCGGTGCCCGTTGTGTTTACCGCCCGAGCGCAAGCTGAGAGAAGAAAGTGGGCTACCTCTCATTTTTGTTTTCGAGGGCTGAGGCTTCGTCCTTGGACAGCCATTGGATTGTAAAGACATCGTTCATCATCAGACAAGGTGCGTACTACACTCCTCTTTCCAACTTGTTGCAAATTCAACCCTCACTTGCTTGGTGCAGCCGTAGTCTCTGTGGACTAGGCTAAGTCACCGCGGTACTATTCTCGCACGCATTGTTCCAACTGCGTGAAGTTCTCCAATGGACACATTGAAGGGTTTACGGAGCATACCAAAGTCACCATTAATCCCGCCCTCGTTGCTTTTATGTGAAACTCAGCGGGTGGCAACCTAGCCGTGTTCCTACCTTTGCTCACCTCACATACGGCGGGACCATGCCGCAAGTTCAGAGAGGATCTGCCATTGCAGTACCGCCAAGTCGCGCAGGTTCTTATTAAATCTAGTACGGCTTGCAACGAAGCGTATCGAAATTGGTACTAGGCGGCCAGTGCAGATACTCAGGTCACGTCGCTTCCAGTTGGGGTAGGCGAACTCATGAAGACAGCTTATTTGCCACCTTTCGTGGACAGCAACTCTATTTTTGTTGCGCCATTGCTTGCAGGGCAGAATCTACTGCGTGAGTTGCAGTCGACACTAGCTGCGGCATCCGAAAACATTTGAACCGCTACGAGAGGAGAGGAAGATTGGAAGTAGTTCGGATACAGAAGAGGTAGAATGGAGCTCGTCATATTTGGATTCAGCAGTGTCCGACTCGGACAACTAGGTGGCTGCGTGGTTAATGTATGGGAGCAGGCTTGGGCTCAGAATATCTCAATGCCAAGGGCATTTTCAATTAGTTCTTTGTCTCTTAACGACCGGGCGTATGGTTCACTATGGGCGGAGGCCTTAGTTATTCGAAGGCCGTTCGGGAACTGTACAAGCAGTTATTCCATGGCGAAATCGGTATCGTCTGCAATCCTGATTAGACCACATTGATCTTTGAACTATCGGGTATTCCAAGCCCAATTCTAACTTACTTTTTGCTTATCCACTTTTTCCATCATTGTAGTAGCTATCTTGCTTTCTATCTGCGCTAGGGACGAATTGCGATCAAAATGGAGGTAGCAATCTCCTCATTTGGATAGACATCTGCATTTCGGGCTTCAAGGTCCGTGCGAGACTTGGCGTCAGCCACTGCACGCCTGATTATCTATCCATCTATGACTCCCCTTGGTATGGGACTTTCTTTTTTCATCTCATTTTTTTAAAAAAAACGGGGGCCTCATGACTGTATTCAAGTATGACTAGGTTGTGTATAGAAGGATAAAAACTGCATCTTCCCCTTCGTAACTCTCCTTCAAATCACGTCTTCTTCCCCCAACAATGACTATCAGAAAGCCTCATCCGCCTTTTGGGCACCCGATGCGCTCAGCACACTTTCAATTCGCGCCTACTTATAAACCTCTCAACCATGGCTCTTTTGGTACACATCCAACTCCTGTACGAGAAGCACATTACGCTCTGCAAACTACAGCAATTGAACGACCTGATACATTCGTCTCATTTATCACATTCCCTCTCCTCACCAAATCCCGGGCTGCAATTGCTCCTTTGCTCGGAGTAAATCATGATGAAGTGGTCTTCGTCCCCAACGCCACGACAGGTGTCAATACCGTACTCAGAAATATCAAGTTTGAGGATGATGATGTAGTGGTGGCGTTTTCGACGTCGTACCCAGCATGTGTCAAGACCATTGGTGCCATTGGTGAGATTCTGCCGGTCAAATGTGAGAAGGTTGAGTTGGTGTATCCGGTTGAAGACGAGGTAATCCTGGAGTCGTTCAGGGAGAAAGTGAGGAGTTTGAGGGCGGACGGGAAGCGGGTGAGACTGGCGATGTTTGATACAATTTCATCGTTCCCTGGGGCAAGGCTTCCGTGGGAGGATCTTGTAGGAATCTGTAAAGAGTTGGGTATTTTGAGTTTGATTGACGGGGCGCATGGTATTGGTAAGCAGACAGTTTTCCCGAGAAATACTGATTGGACACGAAGAATTACTGCAGACTGACATTATTTAGGGATGATCGATTTGACGCACCTCGGCAAGGTCAATCCAGATTTCTTCGTCAGTAATTGCCATAAGTAAGTCTAAACGCGACAGTGTTGCCAAGGGATTATTTATTTACTGTCCCAGATGGCTCTACACGCCCCGCTCTTGCGCCGTCTTCCACGTTCCCTTCCGCAACCAGCATCTCATCCGAACCTCAATCCCCACCTCGCACGGTTACCAATACCCTGGTCAGCCCGAAAACACCAACGGCCGCAGCCCCTTCATCTTCATGTTCGACTACGTCGCAACCATGGACTACACACCTTACCTATGTATTCCAGCCGCACTCGAATTCCGCAACCAAATCTGCGGAGGTGAAGCCAAGATCCGCGAGTACTGCTATGATATTGCTCGGAAAGGCGGAGATTGCATAGCTGAGTTTCTAGAAACGCGTGTATTGACCACGAATAGTGATACAATGAGACAGTGTGCATTTGCTAATGTCGAGCTGCCACTGGTATTCAAAAAGAAAGAGGAGGTTGATCAAAGCAAAGGAGAGTTGGATGTCAATGACGCAGTGAAGATTGCGGCTTGGATAAAGCGAACGGCTGCCATGGAGATGGACACGTACTTTCAGACTGCGTTCCATGCTGGGAAACTGTGGGTCAGGCTTAGCGGACAGATCTATCTGGAAGTAGATGATTATAAGTGGGCTGCGCCGAAGTTGATGGAATTGTGCGAGAGAGCGAAGAGGGGAGAGGGGAGTCATATCGTTGAAGCGGACAGAGAAAAGATAGTCACGTAAAGTAGACAGTAGCATACGTATGGAAGGGTCAACTTTAGATTTTTTTACGCTATATTCAGTATTGATTTCCAAAAATGTCTTGTGCTAGGCGATTATGGGACTTCATAATGTCATCAGATCAGGCAATCTGTATCAGATTTCTGGTTTCCTGAGAACAGAAATAGATTAATGATCTTCAGTATATAACCCCCATTCGAACAAATACTGAAACACCTTTGTATATGATGCCCCTGTTTGCATGCGCAGCTATATTATTACGATTTCCTGCACAGATGAGCCTGCGAATACCCCGGAAGCAAATTTTTGTGCGCGCCTCGAATTCTCCAGTTTAAGTATAAACTCAATTGGAACTTTTGATATCATATCCGAGCTCATCGCGGAGTAGAAACAGAAAACACCAACCCGCCTGTAGGTATTTTGATTGATTTTGAGTAGGATCAGACCCAATGGTCCAAGACTTTTAAAATTGTCGAATTCGCAGATCTGCAGGCAGTATATTCCTATGATATCAGCCGATAATTCTGACTCAGAATTATCCCAGTACATGTTAGCATCTTCCAAATCTATGGGCCCAATATCCTCAGATTCAAAACGTTTTGATGCATTAGGTGATAGGATTGCTCTGCTCAAGTGTCCTTGGATAGTGAGAGATCCTGAAGATACTGCACCATGAAGTGCTTCGATATGGGCAAGCTGCATGCTTGGGCCTGTTACTTTGAAATGCAGATCCACATTTTTCATAATGTTATGATGCCAGGAGATAATATTGTCTGAACTAGCCCAGCTCCAGGAGGGCGCACGGTACGTATCGTCTTGTTGCTTGGATGGTTGATGGCAAATCCATAGCAATGCTAATGGGAGGTGGGAGTGCCACATACCAGCCAGATAAGTAACATTAGGCGTTCGTCTGCTCCAAAGATCTGCTATGCCTGAGATTGCTGGAAGCTTGTCGGCAGGAAATTTGAGCACGCGTCTTGAGTAATTTCAAATCAATTTCATCCAAACTTCGCATTGTTTGACTGCAGAGTCCTCTTTGGTGCCGCGATGAAGATACAAAGACAGTTGGTACATGTCCGCCCAAGACGTTTCCTCCTCTTCTTGATGCTGTCTTGTTTCTCGACACATCCATACAAGTCCTGATGATGTATATTCTAAGATCCGTGTTGATAGCATATACTCTTGGAAAGCCCAAGCACGTGAGTGGACTAGATTCCCACTACGAGGATAGCACACAACTGAGCTCGACCTACCATCTAGACAGATATAAAGAAGACTGAACACAAGGCTGTCTACGGGTGGGCGAGATATAGCATCGAGAAAGCCTTCCCGGCTATCCCCTGCTCGGCTCGCGCAAATGGTGATATAGGCATTGCCGAAAATAGCAGGCAGATCTGCGATTTCGCGAGCCAAGTCTTTCTCATCATCCTGGAAGATGTAGAGGCAGTCTATCCAGATGAATTTTACGTCAAGATTCCAACTCGATAAAATGGCGTCTTGTAACGTTCTTGGTAACTCCGAGATAGCAAGCCCTGTTTCGAGTATTTCAAATGATGAGACTGTCAGTTTGTGCCCTTGGTCTTTTCCCCAGCAATAACTCAGTGTTGAGTATCTCGTTGCCATTGACTCGCGTGACATTAAGGGTACAATATCCAGATAAACATAGAGCTGGTTGATTTGCTCATTTATGCCGATACGGAGCAATCTCCTAGGTCGTCAAAGAGGATGCGAACGTTTTCATTTCGAGTGGTGGACATCACACTGTTCTAACAGCGAAACAATGCGCGATTTCGACTCTTCAGTTCTGAAATCATAGAAGCTTGGTCTCTGGGGAACGAAATCAGAGCTGGGATCTCCTAATGAAGCCTCAGTCGTCGAATGCATTGAATCAACAAATGGCATCGTTACTTACCAGGAAGTGCCAAGACGCTGAAAGTCTACATGTAGGAGAAAGAGTCACTATTGTTTCATATCCAACCACTAATAGTGTTACTATAATCCGGAGATTGTGCATTGAATATCCTGAGTTCATACATCAAAAGATCGATGTCGAAGCAGTTGTTGGAGCCGTCGTTCCATTTTGAGGTTAGGATACTGTAGATGTGCGAGAAGAGTTTACAGTCATTGATGCCTCGATAAACAATTAAACCTGGGTATCTGAGAACGAAAAGCTCGCTTGAATGGGTTCTACGAAACGGGCCTATCTTCTGTGCTGAACAAAGGTGACAAATGTGAATGTTAGAAAGAGGGGGTTGTGGTGCCATCGCAATCCAGGAATTATTATTCAAGTGGGAAGAATATTTGGAGTTTGAGACTTTTAGTACAATGAGACCAAGGTAGTCTATTTATGAAGTATAGAACATTTATCAAAGCAGCCACCAGGGCTGAACAGCGCGGGGCAGTGCTGAGGCAATGTTCGCGGGTTAGCGCAACTACGTCATCCTATACATTTATTTCAAAAAGGGCGCTGGGACTACTATGAGCTATCGCCTTCACTTCTGCAAGCTGAATGTCAGTGATTTGAAATATGTATTATGGGAGTGTTGCACGTTCTCGCATGAATATGCGAAAAGCAAAGACTAGAGTTGATAGTGGATGCTATAATGCCAAGCGAGCGGGACGGTCCGCTGGCGGTGTACTTATGGAGTCTGAACTTGTCTCATTCGCGCTGCGCTGATCCCACAACCTCAATCATGCCGCGCCGAGACTGGACACCTGAAGAATCCAGAGCGCAACTCCCGCCTCGCGCTGAACACTCACCACACGATGCGCGTAGTCACAAGCGCCATCATCGCTCACACCGCTCGCGCTCTCCTCGCCGCGATAACGACAGCCACCGACACAAACGGACGCGGACGCGATCGCGTTCGCTTGCGCGGGAACCTATAGATTTGCCATACAAGGCAAGGCCGCTATCGAAACGCCAGTATGACGAGTACCGACCGCTGTTTCAGTCATACCTGGATATACAAAAGCATATTCAACTAGACGAGTTGGATGAGCGGGAAGCAAAGGGACGATGGAAGAGCTTTGTTAGTAGATGGTATGCATGGATTCTCTGCGGAAAGAAAAACATGGCAAAGGAATGTTGTTCTGACGTACTAGGAATCATGGAGAGTTAGCCCGTAGCTGGTACGACCCATCCATGCTCAAGACGGCGCAAGAAACAGTGCAATCATACCGTGCATCCTCCGCCCAAGCCCCGGCCAGACGAGCATCGCCCAGCTATGCGCCTAAAGAGGGTGCAGAAGATGAGAGCGATGATGAATTTGGACCAGCACCACCGAGAGACCTGGCGCGACATGCTGGCCATGGGCCAACCATACCCAGACTTGACGACCTAACATATCGCAATGAGTTGCGAGATGAAGACCGGGCTCAAGGCCAGTCTGAGTATATGGATGATCTGCGCTATTCCCGTAAAGCCGACCGCAAAGCACAGAAGGAGCGTCTAGACGAATTGGTTCCACGCGCCGATCCGGGCAGCCGCGAACGACAATTAGAAAAGAAGCGCGAGACGACTTCTACACTACAATCATTTCGCGAAGCCAAGGAATCGGGAGATGTGGAAGTTGCGGAATCAGATCTCATGGGTGACGATGGCATTGACGTGTACAAAAAGAAGAAACGGGAGCAGGAGCGACAGAAGAATGAAAGGGAGATACGGCGCGAGGAGATTGCAAGGGCGAGGGAGGCAGAGAGAAATGAGAGGTTGGCGGAGAGGAGGGAAAAGGAGAGCAAGACCATGGAGTTTCTCAAGCAGATTGCACAGGAGAGATTCGGATAGAAGCTATTGCATGCTTTGTTCTATACGGATAGAAAAGTATATTAGGTGTGTCGTCAAGAAGGGTGTATTGGAGCGCTGCTCCAGGTGAAGGAGGTTCGCTTGTGATTAAGCACATCAAGAATGCAATTGGAAGCCAATGAGATACTCCACCAACACCATGCTGCATTGCAAAACCCAAATCATTATAACATGAATTCCTCCCAATTCCAACATGACTCTGTTATTCGTCGTCAAGAATGGAGCTCGCTAGCGGTCCGAAAAAGGGCACTTCGCATCGATCGAGCGTGGCGGCTACGAAAACGTCAGTAAGCGTTCTGAGTGGCATGTGACAGCTCCCCAACTCACCATCGAGATAGGCCCTCCATGTCAGCCAGCCAATGAGTGCCAAGTCGCCCAGCAACATGACCCAGGAGATAAAGCTCGACCAGCTAAATATGACGTGCAGAACAAAGATGAAGGCAAAAAGCAGACTACTCTGCCATGCATGGAATCGCACGTAGTCGCTTTGATGCTCAAACATAAGTAGCAAAACGCCTCCAGCCGGGGGCAGAAGCAGATATGCCAGACAAGCTTCGTAATCGAGGCGCCAGCCCAGCGATGTTGTGAACATGTCAATGTCTTGGCGAGAACGACCAAAGGACGTATTGCGCGAGGGTTGGTCCCATGCTATGCGCTCTGTGTCGGGTTCGCCGAGCGGAGATGTGGGGGGTTGGCCTTGGAAATAGTCCTGGTGGTCATACGAGGGGCGCGTAGTCGGCGAGGCAATGGTACGGGAGCGGTCGACGGATGCTCGAGGCGAGCGGAGTGGTGGTGGGGAAAGAGCTCGTGACGATTCGGGAATGTCCTGGTACGGGGCGAAGTTGGCTGCCATGGTGTCTTTGTCGGCAGACGAGGGAGATGATGCTGAGTGTTTTCTTCACCCAGAGCTCCAGGCTCTGCTATGCTTGGGCAGTGGAAAGTGGAGTGCAAGGATCGGAGCCATGGGAGGCTGTGGGCGCAGAGGAAGGCGCAACCGGCCAGTGACGCGGGACAGGACAGGGATCCTCGGCAGGCGGCACTGTCACGTGAATGCTCGCTTTGGGATGTCTCCGCTGCGTTACTCCGCTGCAGGAACACTGCGAGGTCATGCTGTGCGGCGTGACTAGAGAACGACTGCTCACGCCAGCTTACGACTCAAGAGCCACAGACGCACACGAAGCATATGCAACAGGCCATGTGCAAGGATAAATAGGAATGTCATGCATCTCATCCCCGTAGCACTCGGTCGCTGGCGGGCCGTTACTCTTTTTCATCATCACAAGAACATTGAACTGCGCCTCAAGTACAACACCGACTGCTTCATCTAGACGTGTATCATCTCATCTCACTCCACACTCTGTACTGTTGGAACCACGTATATGAGCCAGCGTTGACACCTCTCGCTGGCAAGCATCCTCACCGCCTGCCCTGCATTAAGTAAACTTGTTTGCTTTAACCCGTCTCTTTCCGCATCCATCAACGCCACACAAGACAAGTGCAAGACGCTGGCTTTCTACATCTTTCCATCTACCCATAGTGGAACACAGAAACACACCTTACTTCACAATGTGCATCGCCATCCTGACAACGGCGCATCCAGACTACCCCTTCATACTACTGAACAATCGAGATGTATGGCTTGCCGGATCAACTCAGCACTCCACATACAACTAACCCCTGAGCAGGAATATCTCCATCGCCCAACTGCAGAAGCAACATGGTGGCCTTCACCAGACACACAGGTTCTAGGCGGTTATGATCTTCATCGCCCTGTACACGGCACCTGGATGGGTGTCACTCGTCAAGGCCGCATCGCTGTACTCACCAACTACCGCGAGGAGGATGAAAAGATTATCGAGGGTGCACGCAGCAGAGGCCTGATCCCCAACGCATGGTTAAAAAGCGACCCTGCCAAGGAAGAAACCACCGATGAATTTGCAAAGCGAATGATTGAACAGGACGGTGTCGAAGGCGTGGGCGGCTTCTCACTATGTTACGGCTTCATGCAAGACGTCGTCAAAAAGGGAAAGGGGCTAGCCATTGTCAGCAACCGTACTCCAGATGTTCACGGCGTAGTTCGTTTGCTTCAAAAACCCGATGAAACCCATGCCCTGAGCAACGCTGCATACAGCGACCGTTCGTGGCCCAAAGTCATTCATGGCGAGGAATGGACCAAGAAAGCAATTGCCGAGTCGGTCGCTGCAAATGAGTCTCGCGATCAACTCATCCAGCGCCTCCTGACCCTTCTCCGAACAGACACGATGCCCCGCCAAAAGGAAAATGAAGAGTGGGACATGTACCTGAATCAGTTGCGCCACAGCATCTTTATCCCAGCCATTGGCAGGGATCACCTAGAAGAGCACAAGATGCCTGCACACGAGATTGGTGATGTGGTCAAGAACAAGGCTGCGGATGCAACGAGTGGGTGTTATGGCACGCAGAAGAACATCATAGTCCTGTGTGATCGCCAAGGCAAAGTGACATATCTGGAACGGACATTATACGACGTTGATGCCAAACCAATTGAAGACGGCAAGGGGGACCGCATGTTCGAATTTCAGATTGAGGGATGGTAGGGTAGGGTAGACCTAATAGGCGCTTGCAGTAGACTGGTGAATGGATTCCGTGTTGTCCAGTCCACTCTCATTCTAGAAGAATCCCGGCCAGACTACGATTTTCAACTTTCACGCTCACTCCCACCAGTTTCTTCATCAAATCACTAGGGCGCCTCCATCTTGTTCTCATCAGCAAGACAGTTTGCTCCCAGTATTCCGCACAAGTCGCGCACTTTCACCTTTTTTCCTCACATCGCCAGGGCGGCTTTCTTGCCATTCACATCAGCAAGTCAGGTTTGCCTCTAGAGTGTTTCCGCATAGTATATCAACAAGTCATTTTTTCCCACAATGCTCTAACAACTTTCTGTGTACTCACAGCTACACTCAGTTCGTGATATATAAGTACTCTTCAAATTGTCTCCAAAAGGAACATTTCTTTACTACTTCAACTACTTCCTTACCAACTCTACGATCAAAATGTGTAAGCACATTATGCAGACACCTCGCGATCAATGCAATATCTGCATGGAGGAGGAAAAGAGGGCTACTTGCGACAATTCGGCACCGATCCAGAAGACTGAAGAGAAGGCTGAGGCCTCTTTGAATAACTTGGGGCCAGTTCCAGAAGAGTACGGAGACTCTCGTGACCAGGGGGGCAACTGGAGGGACTACAAAACTCTCTCCGACGTGGACAGCATCACATCTCACTGGCGTCTAGACAACCTTGTCGAGGAACCTGGACCGATGCTTTTAGCTAAGTCTTCAAACCTTCAACCAGAGACTGCCCACGAGGATAACTTTCCTTCGTGGACGCAAGAAGCTCCCTATGACACCTATGAAAATGGAGTTGGTCCCTGTCCAGCGCTGTACAACCCCAATCATAGAGAGGGTCCTTATACTGGACGATATGACCATCATCGTTCCTCATCACCATATATCCCCTGGACAGCGCACCTGTACTTTTCTCCACCCATCAACACATCTTCTTCGCAGGATGTCCTCTCAAACCTGCAAGATAATACGCAGCAGCAGCCGGTCGGAAATGAATTCACTTCCTTGAACGAATCTGTGAGTAGGATGTCGCACCGTGAGATGGTGCGTGAGCAGTTGGCCCAAGCACAGCAACACAATCACCAGCCACAGTCCCAGTACTATGAAGAAACTTCCCGGAACTATCAAGTTTGGCCAGGCGAGCGGACCTATGGTATGGGAGTGCCACCGCACCTGTGGCCAGCCCTATGGCCCAACGTCAATCGTCCCTTCGAACCCGGCGCGTTTGATCACCTGAGAAGCCAAATGGGCAATGATGAATCCAAACCAAAATAAATGCTCGGAATTGGCTTGGTGGGTCGTGCAAAGGTGTGTGGAGCTGAGGTATGGATACGTTGGCTGGAGGATTGCTGGAGCTCATGGGATTAGCGCTACGTATGCGACGGCTACTAAGAGGGATTGTCTGTTGTTGTTACAAAGCAAAAAACGTCCCGCAAGATAGGTGGTATATTTTCCTTTCTTTTCACGGATGCGCTGGAGTTTTTTGCTTTTCATCATGGCGCGGGAAGGCGAGTTTGGCAAGTCAATTGAACTAGAATTGAAGGAATCATGGAAAGAGTACCTCATTAGTTGTATATCAGAAATTTAAGCAAGTTGGAACAATCTTTGTGCACTCGTAGAGATTGCGATCGATTAGGCGGTAGCAAGAAGCCTGTCACTTCAGTGAGGGTAGTCTACATAATACACAAAGGCCGTTCTTTCACACGTGCTTTGTCTTGGCAGTCTGACTCGGCTCGGATCACTAGTGACGTCTTGCAGATCCTCGGGAAGTCTGGGTAACAAACACCGAGCTAAACTTGAGCATCGCTCCATCCTATTACTCGCAAACCACTCGACCTAACGCTTAATCTTGCCGAACAGCCTACCGTGACGTCGCTTTCCGCGTCTTATTTGTACCAACGTGAAGAAAGACACCGGCGCTCTATCGCGTCCCAACAGTCACCCGCGACATGGCGTCTCTACCGCCGCAGCGCCCCGCGTCGCAACAAAGACCTGCGCCGCCGGCTGAAGCCTCTCCTTCGCAACAAGACTGCACACGCCGGACCGACAGTTTCTCGGGCCAATCTGTCGACTCGCAAACGCTTCTACTCAACACTCCGCCGTTGCAGACAAACACTCCCGCGTCGCAAGAACAAAAAGAGGCGCCCGTCCAGCATGCGGCGCCGCAACAAGAGGAGGATGATGAGCCCCGCAAGTGCTGGATCTGCTTCAACGACGAGACAGAGGATGATGAAACGACATCAGAGTGGCGCAATCCCTGCGCCTGCTCCCTGGTTGCGCACGAGAAGTGTCTTCTCGACTGGATAGCAGATATGGAAGCGCCCAATTCGCGGCGGCGCGCGGGCACAACGGCGAATAAGATATTATGTCCACAGTGCAAGAGCGAGATTAAAGTGCAGCGACCGAAGAGTTATGTTGTGGATGCTGTAAGGCGCGTTGAGCGCGTGGTCAGCAACCTGACACTTCCTGGATTTGCTTTGTTCACCGGCACAGCGCTATACTCGACTTTGACGCTGTCTGGCACAGCGACAATATACCAGATATTCGGTACAGAGGATGCGCTGCAAATTCTCGGTCCCCTTTACGAGACGCCAAACAGGAACGTCAATTCAGTCCTCGTGCAATGGCTTGAGCACCTGCGACAGCACTGGAGGCTAGATCTCGGGTTGCCTCTGATACCCACAGTACTGGTCGCCAGCAGAACAACATTCGCAGACTCTTTCTTGCCCTTTCTTCCACTCATATTCTTCGTCAGCTCAGGTCATCCAGGCGACGAGATGCTCCAGCTACAGTGGCCGCCAAGCGCCGCCTTCTCCTTTGCCGCACTACCATATATTCGAGGTTTCTACAATGCATACTACGAGCGCGTATGGCTGCCGCGGGAACAGCAGTGGCTTAGGGAGATCCAACCCCGAGCAGGCGAAAATACTGATGCAGAGATCCAAAATCAGGCCCAGCACAACCATGCGCACGACGATGGCGATGCTGTGGAGGAAGTAGAAATCGAGCTAGATTTTGACATCTTTGCCGACTGGAACGACGGCGACGATGCGGACAACAATGGCGCGCCCGTAGCTGACGCGCATCAAGAAGAGGGCAATTGGGAAAACAATGTCCAGATACCACCTGAGGTCGATGTTCGCGCAAACCAAGCCCCTGCGCCAGACGTACCCATGCAACCAGCAGTCCAGCGCCCCCGCAACGTCCGACGCGAACGCGGCGTCACTTTCTCCACCACCTCCCTCTCAGACACCATCCTCGGCGCCCTTATCTTCCCCACGATCGCAGCAGCAATCGGCGAACTCCTACGCCAAACCCTCCCCGCTTCCTGGGTCAACCCCCCGTCTGGCTCCCCAGCCGTCTCCTGGCTCGGCGGCTGGGTCAAAAATGGCGGCAGCAGGATTGGAGGCGCAGCCAAGCCGACGGGGCTCCTGCAAACGCGCTGGGGCAGGAGTATCGTCGGTGGATGTCTTTTCGTCGGGCTCAAGGACGCGGTTATGCTTTACGTAAGGTGGAGGACTGCACAGAATCATCGCAAGAGGGGGGTTGTGGACTATGAGGGTGGAAAGAGTAGGAAGGGTGTGAAGGCTAGGTAGAGATAATGGGTTCATGGGTTGCGACGGATGTGGGTTTCCCGTCTTTGTATTATAGGCTCCAAGGCAATTTAATCAGTTCTTTTGATCATGTCATTGTGTTGGTGTTGGGAAATTGAGACATTGTGCAGTTTTTTATTCTCCAACAAGATAATGCTTAGGCTACTATCCAGCATCTGTCCCACCACCTTTCAAGAAAAAGTCGAGTATACTAGCGACTAGTGGCGCACGACACCCTTGCAATATTAGTCTTAGTGGCACGCCCACATAACATCGCAGCTTCATGCAGTGCAAAAGCTCTAATTGCGATATTCTGCAGGCAATGGGTCTGGGTGACAATCACCATGGCTAGGATTGTTGTCGTTTACAAGGTATCAGTTATATCGCCGATCGAAGTAGTAGTATATCACTCCAAGTCACCAGTGAGTGGTAAGCGTCGCGGTACACTGGCAGGAGCTTTTTGGTATAGTTTTGCAGCCGCTTCATGATCAGCTGTTCAACTTTTTGAGCATCCTAGATGTGTGCGTAGTGCTTATATTGTTTGTTGTGCTCGTTCTTACGGCCTCACGGCTTTGGTGGAGGCTCTGGGACCTCAATTTTGTCGTCCTCGTCGTTGTAAAAGATTAAATCTGGTGCCTTCTCATATCAATCAACCCAGGCAGGAATTTAGACGTCTTTGGGAGTCTCTAGAAGCATAGAGATGAGGGGTTTTAATCGGTTGCGCTCACTGTGCTAACGTGAGATCAATGAAGGAGCGACATCAGATAGTGACATATGATCCTCATCAGTGAGAAAAACACCATCCCAGAACGCAACTACGGGCTGTAGACGATACTGAGAGTAGTAAGAGTGCCCGTCTGAAGCTTCGGATTATATTGGGTTTAATTGGAATTGTGTAGATACAAAGTCGTGACGCTAGCATGAGGCAGCGGCTTCAGTGGAGCTGGTCTGTACGCTGGTGCTCGACCTTTTTTGAGAAATGATGATCCCTCCGCAGCGGATATTAGATGCGTCATCGTTAAACTCAACCACCATATACCATAGCCATAGTTTCTTAAGCACGCGCGCCCTCAATTATCGCAAGCTCGGTCACCTCGGATTATAGACAATACCTATGGTTTTTCTTATTACATAACCCTACACTGATATGTGTAACAAGAGGTATAAGAAACAAGTGGTCACATAGTTTTGTGTGTGTGGCGTATAATATAGAGAAGGGACAGTGATTTAATTAAGTCTAGCGATAAGGGCGGGTGACTACTGTCTTTGAGGGTCTGGTAAGTTCTTGCTACTTTCATTTCGATACCCTCTAGACCCCAATCTATTCGACGCAGATCCATCGCCCGTTCTCTTGCTCGTTGGTTGAATCCTTGTGACAAGAGTTCTGCGACGCTGGTCCGAAGTACGTGCCGTAATCTTTGCCGTAATCATTCCTGCAGTTATGTGATGAAAGTTGTGGAACATAACACTAATAAAAACAGTCAGTAACCACTAGTTCTTAGAATCTAATAAGAGTGGAGTGAAGAAGGCGTAGTTGATAATGTTAGTACGCACGCATTCCCAGTGGGCTTTAGTTTCCTGCCCGGATCTGCCATTTCTAGTTGTAGGACAATCAGTTGTAGGAGCACCACCCGGCGTAGTTCCTAAGCAACAGACTGCTGAGACAGTGCTCAGGAAAGGAGACACGGCGAGGAAGAGTAATCCGATCATTATAGACAATGAGAACTCAAATAGTACTATAAAAGTCGGTTATTGTGTAGGTAGCGATAAGGATAGGATACTGATTCTGGTAGAGTGATTAAGTATAGAGCAACACAGGAGCAGACCTTGGACGACTTATATACTACTGCGATAGATATTGAACTACTATGCTACATGGCATAATTGATGTATGTGGGTCCACGAGTACGGGACGATATAGTCCGGTAAGCCGCGGTAACATGTAAGAGCTAAAGGATCTTAAATACCGTCTTAGCGTCTCTATAGTAAACATGTCACGATATTCTGAACCAAGAGACTGATCCTTAGGGATTTATCGGGGACCTCTTAGCATGGTACAGTCTTTTTCACGTGCATAGGAGTATATAATTGTAACCACCCCTACGAAGACCCCTCAAGGATTCGTCTTAGTTCTACTCTTTTAATGTATATCATGCCTATCCGCGAAACACCCTATGATAAAACTTATAATAGATAGCATAGTAAGCATATAACTCCTTACGACAAAGATGAAAAGAGATAGTGAGGCGGGACTTACTCGGTGCTGTGACAGTCTACAATTTTAGTACTGAACGGGTGTGGAGCCTATAGTAGCTACAAGTTCTACTATGGTGGACGCTGGCACAGATCTCGTTCTTAGAATTGCTTGTGTCGTCACAGGGAGAGGACTAGTAAAGAGAGTAACGGCGGCACTAGTTTAAAATATGAAGAGTTGCATATCTTTCTATTACATGAAAGCTCCCCGTCTTATAGTCCATTAGTCCAATCGTGGTGTCAGCACAAGGGTCGCTGGCCACCCTGTGCACCGGCACAGTACCAGAGACTAAAGTTTGCATTTTCAGCATCTGTACACAAACGGGGTCTGAGTAATATTATTCAATCCTGGCGGAACTAATACAGTTAAGTCGTACGTATCACACGGGGTTCCAAAAGTATATACTCTACCTATCTTAATCTAGATATACTAGTGCCAACAGTCTTTTAGGAGGTTTATTAGTAGAGTAATATAGAGTAAGGAAAAAACTTCAAAAAAAAAAGCTAATCCTCTGATGTATCTTTGAGAACAAAAAGAAGACTGGACGCTGTGGGAATTGAACCCACGACCTTTCACAAGTACGCACATGGATAGTATGCGAAGCGAAAATCATACCCCTAGACCAAGCGCCCTTGCAAATTTTACAAGAAATTTTGAAATTTTGAATTCATATCGTAATCTAACCAAGACCGCTACGAAGCAGTGCAGAGTAAATGTCTAGAAAGTCCTGGAATCACAGAATTTGAAGGATCAAAGGATTTGTGAACAACCTCCTCAAACGTATCTCGGTGCGTCGTGCAGTTTACCGGAAAACCTAGACTATTTTTGACTTGGGGCGCAGGTGTCACGTGATGTACCAATTAACCAAGACTTGACTTCCATGGTTTCGATAGAGAAAAAGTAGACGGTTATGCTGAGATATGCAAAGAATCAACGGGAAATACTAGATAGTATAGGTGGTAGGATTGGTAACAGTAAGGATACAAGGATGAACGGATCCTACTTATCGCATTCGATGCAGTAAACTCGTGAAGTGTACTATAATTTTCTTTCCCACCCTTTTACTCCATAGATTTATCGGGATCTTACATCTTGGTATACTTGACCAATGCTCGTAGTTATTCGTCGAAATACTCGTAGTGCGTCATCGTCAGCCTCGCCTCGGTGCGGACCGGGACACAGTAGTGTAGTCATAGTCTCACTCTATGTAACAGTACGAAGTCACGATTTGCCTTGTTGCAAGTATCACGCGCTTGTTCATGCGTCGTCACCATTGCAATCGACATCTGATATAAGAATAACTTCGCAACGTAACTCACGAGGAGAACGTAGTCTACAGTGGCCTTCCGCTACAGTTCTCACATCATAGCTAGGAACAATTCGCAAGAGTAGTGTCTTGTCGTAGAGGTTTCTCTATAGTACCGCATTTTGAACCTCGGTATGAGCTTTCAAACCCACTTTACTCTCAATTATGGATTAGCCTCATGCTAACCCCAGCATTTTAATCAATATCAACTTAAATCAACGACTGTTTCTTGAAATCCTCAAGGATCAGCAAACATGTTTGTCTCTACACAAAGTCTTTCGACGGAATATCAGTGTTTGGAAGACCAAAGTCCCGACGGATATAGTATGTTATAACTTGATTTACGCTTGCGCTTACAGTTACGATTGTTCCGCGGAAGAGAATTATTTGTGCAGATACCTGTTTTCTTATCTAACAGCAGCTTCTCTGCAATACCTTATATTTCGTATACATATATACAGTACCCCGCTGATATAGGCAAATTGTAATAACCCGAGACCTTCGTTGTAGTGTCGTTAGAGCTACTCTTGTCGGCATGTTACAAACGTCTCATGTCTTTCGATTAAATTCCCGTTAAACTGCAGACAGGTGATCAAGCAATGACTTAAGAGTTTATTGGAGTACTTGGCCCCTTCCTGGTATGTAGATTGTTGCGTCCACCTATCTGCAAAGTGGCATCCGTACTATCCTTGTGCGGCGCGGCCTACTCTGCATCTCTGCCGCATCTGCCAATGGACTTTTGATGTACGATGAGAGCAGCTAGGGATCTAAGCCTATCGGATATAATCTCGAGAACCCATGGCTGGTTCGACGTAGGACATATTAAGATATGGGTAGTGTTTATTGCTGATGAAGAAGAGGCGATGTAGGCCGATGAGGTTTCCATGTTTGGGCCTGAGACGTGAGCACGGTCAGGGCACTGCAGACGCTATTGAACTTTGAAAGCTTGGCCATAAATTATCATTCTATTCGATTGTTCATTTCATATTCAGACTGCCCATTGCCTGTTAATTATGCAGTCTCTACATTCCTCCAATCATCCATCATAATCTTCCGATCTTCTCATCTCCACTAATTTAAACCTTCTTGCTAGTGGTTTCCTCGCTGTGCTCCTTGAGTGGGTGTTCGGGGTTTGAGCTCAGGGTGTCCTTAGTGTTGTCACTGGACTTCTCAGCGCCCTCCTTAGGTCCAGCGCCCTGCTGGTTGACGTTGTCGGAGATCTGACCGGCTTGAGCACCAGACTGGCGCTCGGGGTCGGGAGACTGGCGACCGGCGTTGGGGGCAGACATTTTGGTATGGGGTGTTGATTAGGTAGAAGAGCTGCTCGGAGTTAGTACTTGTTGCTAGACATGAGAATAATTGCCAGTAAAGGAGTGGATGTTAGGATTGAGAGTGCAGAGAAGTCGCGACATGTTCCAATTGTGCTCCCATAAAGAGGATCCAGACAATGAATTTGACTTCTGACATGATCTGAAGCATTGTTTCCTTGGGAATGCAAGTGCAGGTTTGGGGTTGTGACGAAGCTCATGTACAGCTAATGGAACAGACGCGATAAGAGGAAAAGAACGTACGTTTGGTGTAGGAGTTGGAACTTATGTCTTCGATTAGCTCCTTTTGGACTGTGACTTGGATTTGATAGCAGATACTCACTGGAAATGTAAATGCCAGAGACGGTTGCAAGCGTGGGTGTAATGGTTCTCAAGAAGAGCGGCCCCTCGTGCCTTTTCATCTGCGAAGCTGCCCCACTGCACCTGACGTCACTTTCAGATCGGGCAACATCGACGTCAACCTCATCAAAGCGCTGCACGTTGCATGGCGCGCTATTGTGGGCCGGGGTGGTTGGTGCTTAGCAAGCGCAGAAGATGCTTGCTGACAACATGCCGCCGTCTGAATACACGCGTACCCGGTGGTTCTTATCATTCAACCATATCGAAGCCCGATCACACATGTCATATTGCTGGGTGTCTGGCAACTACATATTTCAAAGGCCCGGGGGATCCTATACTGGTCCCTCACTTACGTCAACCAATAATTGTTGTATTCGGTAGTCAGATGTATGTGCTACCTAACACAATGGCTATGTGCTTCGTTTCCCCATTTCTACGTCTACGTCGCCTCCGTCTCCGTCGTCATCCCATTCACTTCCCTTTAATCGTTTACCCAACCAGATGCCTAGAGCTGTCGCTGCGCTTGCAGCTAGGAACCAGCCCTCAAACCATCTCTCTGTAAATCTAGGCTCTAACGGCGCACCCAATGCATCCCCTATCTTGCTCTTCATCTCCGGTGGCAGATTACTACGCAGTAACAACGCCGAGCTGATGACATATGTTGCTGCGACCTGCGAGATGATAAGTGCAAAGTTTGTTTTCGCGTGGTACAACAGGCCAGGCACAACTTTCGCAAACAGTAAAAATGTCTGGAAGACGCTGTTGAACGAGAGAAGGAGCATGACGCCCGAGAGTAGGAAGGAAATTGTACGACTCCATGCTACCCGATCAATGGTCGGATCCCAGTGCTTTGCTAGGAGAGCGAGGACATTGTTAATTGGGTCACTGCTCGAGAAGCTGGCGTTGGGAGACGAGAGGCGACGGAGAGTACTGATGGTCGTTGCACCGATGCGGTACGCGCAATAGATTGCAAATACATAGGAGAACATGTTCAACAGCCGTCCATGTGCAGTGTGTGCGCGGAGCTGTGATTGCCGTCGGTTCTGAAGCACAGTCATTGAATTCTGCAGTGAATGACGCATCGTCTCGAGTCCCTGTATTTCCAACTGCAGAGTGCTTCGCTCCTGTGCATCCGGATTGGCACGAATCGAGCCGACCACTCGGCCCATGAAGCCCTGTTGAGGATTCTCTGATAGCTTACGTTCGATTGCGCGAAGTCGGCTTTCCTTGACCAAGAGCATGTCGTTTGTTGCCTGAAGCCCAGCCTGTTTGCGAGCAATATCCGATTCCGTGACCTGTAGAGTTTAGTTTATTAAGCACAATCTGTCGAGCCAACAAAAACTCACGGGTTTGTACCGCACACCAAACGTGTGCCAGAGTGCGGATATGGCAGCAAAGCCGGCGAGGGAAGCCATCAAGCTGATACCAATGATTCCGATTCTTTCAAGACAACCTTCGCTAAAAGTATGAGAATGCTCATACG